CCAGGGGCTCTAAAGAACAGCAGGCACATTGGGAATCGCATTGCAGTAATTTGCTGATCCTGCTGAGGGATTTGTAGCAATACAAATCTGGAACATCAATCAGTTTATGAGCTTTTATCCTGTTTTTGAAGTAATGTAGTAGGCATAGTAGTCTGACTTGCTTAACTGAGAAATTACGTTCTTGGCCTGGAGTAACAGGCCACCTTCACTGATCTCAAACCAGCTTTCTCTGTCACACATTGACAAACAGGTCATAAAGCCTTTCAAAATAGTTTAAATGGTGATGCCAAACTTTGGAAACAGAACCACAATGGCACTAACTCAAGAACCAGCTTCGAATACCATTAAGATTACACTTCCTGTGCTGAAGGCTCCTGTGTGTTCCTGGAGAAGTAAACACTTTTCTAATGGGCGACTATAAATAACTACCTCAGCAGGGCTCGCTCACACGATAGTGTCTACAGGGAAGTCTCATATTGAAACACATCACATGTTTACTAGACCTATCCAAGATCCTATTTCAGGAGACAGCCATATGGTGTGTACATTTTACCCACTGCTGTACTTCCCAGGGTCTCTATAAATCTGATATCAGGACTATTTGGTCTGTACACGTCAAACCTTTGCATGCTGATTCATGGTTTATGTAGTCTCATATCTCTAACTGGTGGGTCAGAAGAGAGTTTCTGAGAGTTCAGTCATTGTCCTTAAAACTGGGTTCACTTAATAATTCACACACTATAAAAGTTCACTCTGACAAAACCCTACAAAAGAAATCATGTGATGGACTGTCCGTATAAACACTGACAGTGGCAAACAAGAACAGACATTAGCACCACTGGTGTTACATTTGCTTGTAACATTTGGTAGCTCTCACCTTGCCTGAAACACCCTACCGAAGGCCCCCTCTCCAATATCACGGACATATTCAATGTTGTTGCGTGGATATTCGAGACTGAGGAGCTTAGAGTTGAGAAGGAGAGGCAGTCGTTGGTACATGGGGTTGGGATGAAGTCTGTCCAGCAAGAGCTCTGAGGGGAGGGTAGTCAGAGTAGGCGTCTCCAGCACCCTACTGAATGTAGAAGCACAACTGTGTTGTTTAGATGCATTCAGTTAATAATTTAAGTAATGCAACATTTTTTGTGAGAGTTTTCAAGAGCAAGGGCATTCAATTCTCCAGGAGAGCCACCTTCCTGCAGATTTTACTAACCAAGGTGTTCAGGATTACTTGAACATTACAGACAAGTGTGTTGGAGCAGAATTGGAGCAAGAATCTGTTTGATGGTGTACCTCCAGGAGATGGGATAGCCAACCATGCTGCCAAAGGGCTACATTCCTGCAGATTTCAGTTCAGGTCTTGCTCCAATAAACCTTTGTTTTCAAATCATCCTGAACACCTTGATTTCAGATGTGTTTGATTAGGGTTGGAGCTAAATTCTGCAGGATGGTATCCCACCAGGAGCAGGGTTGGCCATCCCTGTTCTAGAGTAATTTTGATTGTGTGTCCTGTTAGGGTTAGATTTAAGATTTGGACTATGATTGTTTAATACGAATGTTGTTTCAGGACCAACAACAGATGTTGATAGCAATGCCCACTTGGTACATCTTGGTACATTCCTGTTCCTGAAGTCCTCACTTTCTGCAAATTCAGCTCCAACCCTGATCAAACAAAGCTGAACCAGCTAATTAAGATCATCAGGAGCACTTCACAAGTACATTAAGTTCTGTTGGTGCAGGAATGGAAATGAACTCTACAGGCACCCCTGTCCTACATCAGTCCTCATGGATCACACTTTTTAAAGCAGGGTTCCTCAAATCCAGTCCTGGAGGGCCAATGCCCTGCAGAGTTTAGCTCCAACCCTGATCA